GTGTGTGTGTGTGAGAGAGACTCACCCTTGGCCATTCGGTTCAGCACCATGTCAATGAGGATGTACGTGCCAGTCCTGCTAGTGCCATCACTGTGGGAGTGGCAGAGATAAATAGTAAAGCTGTGAGTGCATGTTATTCTCCAAAATATTTACCTCAATCTTCTTTCCAAACACATATTATTCATATTTGTCATATTGTATGTTCACGGAAATCTGACATTAATCTTTTTTATTTAATTTTTTTACCTGCAGTGAACGATGATTGGACAGGAACGACCTCTGTAACATTTATTCACCTTCCTGAAAAGCAGGAACAAGGGACAGCAGAGAAAGAAAGGAGAACAAAGAACAGGAAAAAAAGGCTTAATTGTAAATTATTTATGCCGCCGAACTTTGTTATCGCAACTAACCTTGTTCACATATTCAGTGAATGTCAGTAATCAAGACATTAATAAATGCATACAACACAACTATTAATGTCTCTTGAGCAGGTTCAGGAACGTGTCCACTGTGGTTAAATTAAAGGCAATGAGAAGAAAATACAATGTGACCGAGTAGGAAGGATAAAGGATGGAAAGACACACGTTAATGACAGATGAAAACAGTAAGATTAGGAATGATGATTTGAAACGTCAGGACAGGAGAACATAGAAACTGCATGAGGTTGTGGAGGACAGCGAGATGGTAAAACAGGAAAGAATAGGTGGAGAGGAAGCCACAAATTCACTGTCCCTCTTGCAGTAGCCAGTCACACCTGCCAATGCTCATTTTTGTGACTATGCAACTGGAGCCAGAGTACTAGCTGCAAACCACAAAAATGACACTGGGAGATGTTAAAATACAAACCTATCAACCTGAACACTGAGAGAGAGAAAGCTGAGATGATGGATGGGATATGAAATGTACAACCCAGGGGTCTTAATTGATTTCACACCATGCAGAATGACAGGGAAGATAGGAAACGATAGGTGTGATGAAGGTGATCTTGAGGATTCAAACCCACTGATGCGTTAGGGTTGCAGCGTGTCACCGCAACATCACACACACACACACTGCATCCTGACCACCTGTTTGCTCCGTTTTGTGTTTAGTTATCGAAAATGACTGAATCTTGTTGCACCTGTTGAAACCAAAAGCACGTATGTGGGGATAGTCTGTGTGTGCTTCTATATGTAATTGCGTAGTTTCTTACCTGCGGAAGTCGAGCAGCGGTCGGGTGGAGGTGGGGATGCCATCAGCCGGCCAGCTCAGCAGGTGAAACTGCGTCAAGGTTCTGGTCTCCTGCGTCTGGACGTTCTTCAGGTAGAAGCTACGCACAAGGAAATCCTTACACCAGATGTGCTCTGACACCAGGTTCACCTGAACGACACAAAGGGACAGAGAGGGGAGAAAAAAGAGAGGAAGGGGTGGTAGAGATATGGACAAGATGGTAAAAAAAATCTGACTTGATTGGAGAAGAAGTCTCCACATAGACAAAAACTGAAAGCTCCACTTAAACTTAGGAGATCACATATGAAATAACACCAATTATCCCAAATGATTTACTATGCGCATATAAAATGGGACTGTAGCATATACAGGACATATACATTTTTATTTTTTGAAGACTCATTTTTTTTGTGATGTGACAAAATAAATGTATAAGTAACGCTGGCTTACCACCAGGGGGAGACATACCAACAAAGAGCGTGCAGAGGTTGACATTTGGACATTTTTACTGTTTTCATAAGGTTTTTTTTATGTCAAATTCCTCATTTAAATCATGTTAAACATTTTTTTTGACTATGGATAAGTTTCTTCTCTCCTACACCTAAGAGACTTATTAAGTCTCTCCATGCTAATACAACTCAAGCAGCTACTGCAATGTTCACTAACGTTCATCAGATCACAGCGAGTAAGGTAAATGACATGAGGGGTGCTGCGGCTGATCATGAGATAATACAGATTGAAGGCAGCTGGGCCAAATTTTTTATGTGGACCATAATTTGGACCTATGTGCAGGGAAGCTCTACCTATTACGCTGAATGCTTGTTACTAGAAAAGCATCATAAAACGACACTGCACCGTAGGTGAAATAAAAGTTTATGAGCGACAACAGGAAATTAACCTCATAGATGTGGTAGAGTGATGAGCCCTCATCAGGCCAGTATCGCTCGCACTGTTTCTCTCCATCCTCCACCAGAGCCGTCATCATCACTATCACTGTGCAGCCGTTCTCCCACACCATCTGTGGGTTGGAGAGAACACACATGGATGTATAAACACACACCCCTGATTGTCACATTCAAATAAATCTGTGACATCTGTAAGTGACAAGGCAGATTTCCTGAAGAGGGATTGAATGGTTCAGTGGCCTACATCGCTTTAATGTGTCACTACATGGCAAGTAAATCCACTAAATTGGGAGCACGACAGAAAAAGAGGCAGAAACAACAGACAGAAAAACAGAAACAACAGGGTGGGAAGATTTCTACTGACCTGCCAGAAATCAGCGACAGTGTGAGCGAGTGGTCCCTGTGTGGCGATATAAGCTGGCTGGCGAGGGTCGTGATCAAACTGTGGGTTAAAAAGGAAAAGAAAGAGAGACAAGTTTCTTAGGTTTTAAGCTCAAATAGATTAGGAATATATTCACGTAATGTGGTTACAAATACACAAGACAGTATCTTAAAGATCTTAGTATTGTATTCATCTGTAACTCTGCCTCTTGGGCACCACATAGTAACAGCACTGACAAGATTAACAAAGGTATGTGGAAGAAAGTTAACTGTGCTGTGTAATGGTAAATGGATTGAATGTTGTGCTTGTATACTGATAGAGAGGAAGGGTTTAGCACAGGCTTTGGTGCCGCAGACTGAAAAACAGGATAGCCAAAATATTCACAGTTGTGAAGACCTTATTTCTTGTTGAATCTTCATATTTCATTAGGGGACAAATCACTTTAAATGTTTTGGATTGTTTGAAGGATTCTTACAATGATGCTGGCGTTAATGTAGTCTTGTTTATTGGAGTTTACTTCAGACTTCAGCTTCACCCGAGAGTGATCATCTGTAAAGGAAAATAAAAAGTCACTGAATGACTCTATTTTTCCCCATTTTCCACTTACTGTGCAGTTTTAGTTTAGTGAAATGCATGGGATTGGTACGGTGCTGTACATCTGTACATCTGATATTTGCATGCAGTGGTGGAAGAAGTAAACAGATCCTTCACTTAAGTAAACATACACAAGTATTATCAGATAAATCTATACTTAAAGTATCAAAAGTAAATGTAGTCATTATGCAGAATGGCTCCTTTCAGAGTGTTATATCATAGAATATTATATTCTGTTTTTATCACTAACGACTACATGTAAGAGCCTTTTAATGCTGGAGCCTTTTAATGTAGGTAACTTGTAACTATGATTGTCAAATAAATAAATGTAGAGGAGTAAAAAGTACCATGTTTCACTCTGAGATGTGAAGGAGTAAGAGTAAAGCATACAAATAGTCAAGTAAAGTACAAGTATGTCAAGATTGTACTTAAGTACAGTACTTGAGTAAATGTACTCAGTTACATTCCCACCACAGAAATGATCAGACAGAGTGGCACATTGGTAAACTCACAGGGGAGTGATTCAGCGTGTCTGTTTTTGTCCATGTTGCTCGGGCCTTGAGCCACAGCAACTGAATTGGGATCAGCCTGGTAGGAGCACAAAGCTTCCCACTCTTTCTGAAGGCGGTCCTTATTACGCAGGTGATCCTCCATATACGCCTAACGGAGAGATGACATACAAATAAAATGTAGGTGGTTAATATTTACTAAACAAGTAAAAGGATGATTTTTTCTACAGCAAGAGATTACTTTGCTGCATCAGGAGCCACATTTTCTCACCAGTATCATGTGACCAGTAGAGATGTCCATGTTCGACTGGGCGGGCTCCTCGCTCCAGGACGGGGTGGAGCTATGGGTGGAGGACGGGCTGTGCTGAGGACCATCGCTGAACTGGGAGGAAACACTGCTGACGCGGGATGTGTCTGTACCCCTTCGACCACCAGCACCCGTGGCTATGGCGGACCCCGCCACGCTCCCAACACCCACACATTCCTGGCGGCACATGGAGGATTTGGATGCCATGTGCTGCCGACATAGCTCCTGAACGGAAAATAAGGAGAGGGAGAGGTAGAACGACAAAAACATTTATTTTTTTTATTTTTTATTATTTGATGCCAGAGCTGCAACTTTTTAGTAAATCCATTAGTATCAACATTGATTAGTTAAATAATCAGTTACTGTATAATTGTATGTTCTAAATATCAGAAACTGCATTAAGAATTCTTTCATAGAGCTGTAACCAGAGAGACATTTCTTTATTATATATGCTATGAATAACAAATGTAAATTCACACATTTATTGCCCTTTTGACCATACATGATGTGGTTTCTTATACTTACAATCCATTATAGAATCAAGACATTGACACCAAAGTTAAAAAAACAAAACAACAAAACCTCTGGGAAATTATATAAAATGTTTTTTTAATCAGTCCTGGATCTACATACGCTGCCTTACCTGGTAGTCAAAGTGTGTTTCTGCTCCTCCCTCTGGCCCCAGGCCAAGCTTGCCATTGGCCACTTGCTGAGTGTAGTGCCTGAGGCAAGCTACCGCCATGGCCAATACCAGCACGCCTCCTACGACTGCCATGGAAACAAGGGTGATGACTGTCCCACTGGAGCCCTCGGAAACCCTGGTTACCTGAGGGAGACCCCGTGCATCTGTCCTCTGGGAAAAAGACATCATAAAGAGTGTTGAGTCAGATATAGAGTGGGGGGAAGAACACAAAGAAAACAGATTACTGCTTCACTTAAGCGCTATCTCCATTTGTTGACATGCACATCTCGCCTTTTGATAGTAGTAAACCCAAGCTAAGCTACCCTGGGGAATCTGCTCTCACCACTGGAATTTAAAGGTCACTCATTTCAGCACATTTGTCTCTTTGTAACTGTACATGACAGCAACGTGTGCTCAGTGAGCGGTTGATGTTGAGTTTTAAAGACAGAGGCCTGAGAAGTAAAGGGAGTATGAACTGAACCCATTAAAAAGACAACAGAAGATCCATGAAGGTCAGTGAACCAGTACACACCACCTATCCATGCTGCCATGGTGTGTCATTCCACCTCTTCTTCATCTTCTTTTCTATCTTTCAGAACAGTTTTCACTTGCGGCCATATACAACATAATTCAACATTACAGTCATGTCATTTTAATGTAAAGCAGGTGTATAGACTTGTTTAACCAGAATTCACAAGCAATGCTAATGAGAAAACGTCACTGAGGTGATTTCTCTTATCTCAGAGTACCACTCACACATACACACACACAC